CCCCCCTTCCGTGTATCGATTTATTTCTTGTCATCCATTTCTTGATGTCTTTCAAACATTGCTCAAGCTTTCCTAGGGGAGTGAGTAGTCTCAGAGAGTGGGATTTTCAGCATACAAGTGAAAATCGATATCTTACTGTGATATGATATCACTTATGGGAGCTACATACGTAGTATAATATAATATTGTTATCGGAGACATCATTTTTTTAAAATCCCCGAAGCACATCGAAAAATACAGGGTTACTTTACAAAGATGATTTCTACAGTTATAGCTATTACGATTCTTTCATCCAAGTAGGACGGCTGCCTTTCAACGGCTGGGAAACGCGCACCGAAATATGACCCCATTCATTTCATTGAGATTTCTTTATCAATTGTGTCAGGTGTGCGGCACCGAGTTCTAAAAGTACAAACAGAACTGTTTTTTAAATTTAAACAAAAGGCGCACGATGTCATTGTACTCTTTTCACAAAGTTATCTCGAAAGCTCAGTGAATAAAGATGATTTAAACAATCTGTGACCTTTCTCATATTCAAGATTTAACCAAGTGAACAAAAACCCAAACTATAGTCCACAAAAAATTAGAACGATGACAAAATCAAATAAACAAGTTTTTTTTTAAACCACTGTAATTCTGGTAGACCAGGATGACTTTTTAAGATAGGGATTTTTATTGTCCTGGATCTCGGTCGTACAAGGTCGCCTTATCTGTGTGCAACAGGAAGGGGGAAAAAGTGCTCATTTCGTCTGTCCCTGAACTTAAAATGCAACTGCTAGAACAGTATGCACTGCTAAAAACCTGTAGTTTTTTTCAGTTGACATTTCTCGTGCCATGTTATGACGTTTGATTCCCCCCCCCCCAACCCTGGCGACCCCCCCTTCAAAAGCCGCTCCCTTTTTCCAATTTAGACAAACTTATTGTATCACACATTTAGCACCCCAATTTGCATGTTAAAAATTAATATATTGGAGAATGCACCCAATGCCATGAGATGTGTTGTAAGCGGAAAATAAAGCTTTAATAATTATGATAAAACAGTATATCATGAAAAATGTATTGCGGTCCAGTTCAAATCCATTATATGGCACACCTGTGCTGTGAAAGGCCGATCCTCCCCTTACCCCGCCCCTCCCCCCAACCATGTCAGGGCCTCTGCTTGGTCTGCCCTATATTGCGAGGGGATTGAACTTTCTAATAATGTTATATTTTGTGTTATATAAGAACTCTTGTTTTAAGAAGGTCAGGGAGAGAGATAAGAAAAACAGCAGCTTTTGTCCCCATTCTTTCTTTTCCGACCTTTAAAAACATTTAGAAAAAAAAACTGGGGTACGGTATGGGACATTGAATGACGATTACTTCAACAAGAGGACGTCGAGCACTGTACCAACCTTTAAGTACAGCAACAAATAAGAATATCTGCAACAGCAATAACAGTGACGATACCAAACAATTAAAAAACAAGAACAGATTTCGTTAATAAGGTTGATGACAAAGACAGTGACCTTTGTTTTAACGGCAAAACTATCTAACAAACTTACCTCCCCCCCCCCTCCCAGCCCTAATGCTTTACCAGCCCCTTGCGTCTAGTTTAGTTACTCCAGCTGCGGTAACAATATATTATGCGCGTGACGAAACCTCTGACGTTTGGGGTTCGAACCTGATTATGAAAAGCATTTATTTGATATTTTCTCAGACACCATGCCTTCTAAACGACTTTCTGTGTCGGGAAAGCATCCATTAACACGCCCCCCCCCCCCATACCCACACACAGACACCACGTCACCTTAAAAGATAGAAGAAAAAGAAAAACGACAAACAAAGTAATTTTACATTCCTGTCCGTCCATCATGTCCACGCTTCTTACATTTCCTTTCAACTGTGCAGACATCGCCAGCCAACGAACACGCCATCGTTACTACAGACGCCATGAGACCTTGGTGGGAACGCTACCAGCCAGTCAGCTACAAGCTTGTCAGCCGAAGTGGTAATGAAGCTCAGTTCAAAGACATGGTGCAGAGGTGCAAAAACGTCGGTGTCAGGTTTGTAGACTATTATAGCCATTGACAACGTATTCTGTGGGCATTGTTCAATAATTTGACTTTGTTTTAGGTTGTGTTTTGATGCACAGCTAGACACACATTCAACCCCCCTCCCCCC